TTTTAGTTAAATGTTTAATACATTTCATTGTATACTCATTTTTTCCAGTTGCATGCATGAGGTAAATTGTTAGTAGATATTTAGCATATTTAATGTATAGGTTATTTATGTTTACTGGGCCTTATTTAAGTTATTTTACACAGTCGTCTTACTATTCTATAGTACAAGTTCAAATCTTGCTGGTATGGATTCGACTGTGTCAAAATTGGAGTCATTTACGCATTTATACTGCAATAGACCACAAACTGGTGCTATACAATTTGCAACTGTGTGTTTTAACCTCATATAGTATATAGACAGCTTATGAATAAAGTATATTTATTATTTGAAGTACAGAGGTACAGACTAATTGGGATCATGTTAGTCAGCTAAACTTTGCTTATTGCAACGGACCAATTTTAGTATTATTTCCTGGACGTCATGCTTGATATGTTATTGCTATCTGCTTTAATGTGCTCATGGTCACACTGCTTCTGTGAGCCATGAAACATTTTCCATCACATGAGCAGCAGCATGATGTAGCTTCGTAATCATTCTGCTAGCTGATGGCGTCAGACAGACTCACTCCTGTTTGACACAGGAAGTTAGATTGAATGGGCACTTGTCAGTAATTTACCAGATTAATCTCCTGTAGGTCAGTGCTGTGTCCTGTCTGTTGGGTCACCAGCAGAAATTGCTAGTATTGTACTTCTGTCTTAGTGTTATAAATGTTACTAAAACATTTTGGACAGGCATTAATCAGAAATGAGGACGTAGGCGGAAATTAGTAGTGACTAATTGGCATAAGTCGTACTTGAAAATAGTTCTTATACAAGTTGACTAGTGATCGGTATTGATCTGTACTGGTCATGTATGTACAGTATGTATGTATATACAGTGTAGTCTGCAATATCTATATTTGTACTTTATTTAATATGTTTTGAACTGGTCTGTAGAAGGAAGGATTTTCATGTCAGGGAGGACCATAGTATCCAAGAATAGGCCCTTTTGATTTCACCTGGAGCACACTGCATTTTTAGATATAAGCAACATTCCTGAATCTCTTTTTCAGGAAGTAAGAGTAATGTGAAAACTCCATCCTTCTTCCACAATGAACCATTTGTGGTGTATGAAGACTGGGTTATACTGTAGTCTAATAGACGACATTATGGTTAGAGGCTGTGGAGGCTTTAATGCGAAGCCTACATATTACACAAATATATCATTCGGCGTGTTTTAAAAATGTATTTGTAGATGTTGCGTCTTAAGGACCTAAAGGGCTATTTAAAGGCTGTTCAGAGTATGTCACAAAATCTTTGCAGCTGTGATTGTTTTTGAAGGCATTGGCTTCAGTTGAGCTTAAGGTTATACCACACACAAAGATTCCGGAATTATTGTATTATTGTAGCAGTAATAATAGCAGTAACACCCCCCCAACAAGGACATGGTCTTGTGTTTTTGGGTTGTTCTTTGAGATCCATAACCTTCTTATTTCTAAGAACATCAGCGGGGATAGCTGTGACTAAGAGCTAATATTTTCATTAGTGACTTTCTTTCATTTGTGAACATGTGAATAGATAAAAGTGCATAATTTTTTATTGCAAAAAAAAATTATAATAGTACGTGAGACCGTTTGTCTCTAAATGTCTCTAAATGTTAGTTTTATTTGAAGCAATTTTGCTGAGTTATTTTTATTCTTTCGCATTTTAATTAACGTGAGTTGCCATGAATATTACAACAGTTTTATACACTGTGTGTGTGAACTTTATATGTCTGTCATAACCTGTCTTCATGCTGATTTTATACCATAATTATTTAAGCTTTTTTTTAATTAATTTAAGGCCAAGCTCATCCAATTTGGTAATGAGGACCACCAGATTACTAATTATTTCTAATCATTTTTTTGGGCCTTGCTGTGAATTGAATATGTTTTAAATGCATCTAAGTCAGTAGTTTCTCAAACTGGTCTTCGGGGACCCACAGGATGGTCCATGATTTTGCTCCCTCATAGGTCCCTGCCAGACAGTCCACATTTTTGCTCTGGGAGCTGGGAGGGAGCAAAAATGTGGACTGTCTGGGGGTACCCAAGCACCAGGTTGTGATACACTGATCGAAGCACTCTACTCCTGCTTTATCTGGACTTTGCAAAGCTCACCAAAACTGTGTTATTTTTTAAGTTGGTGGAACATACCTTTTCTTTTTAGAATACAATGTAGTGTACTTAGTATGGTGTACTATCATCAACAACTCCCATCTACCATTTTTTAATTTTTTATTTGCTTTAAAACTTCATAATGTTCAGCACATTGTGAAACATAACAATTAAAGATGACCGAGTTTCTTACATCTTGAATTTACTTTTTTTCCCTGTTCTGAGTGGTCGAGCAATGCATATACAAACTGGGTTAAAAACGATGCATTAGCCCCTAAGATGTATTTATTTAAGTGCTAAACAAAGAAATTATACAATATAATACCAGATTTTATTTTGTGTTTTTATACTACATTTATACCCTATCGTGTTTGCTGTCTTGATGTTCTTCGATTAAAGGGAAAAAGAGAAGTATATACATATATATGTGAAGATAGTAATTCATTGTAAAGCTACATTTTGGCCATTTTTAATATATACTGTGACTGGAAACCATTTTCAATCTTTTTTTGAGGGGGTGTTTACAAATCATGGTATTTTCCTTAGTTTTATTATCTTTCATTTGCATTGACCTGTGCATTCTGTTGCTGGTTGATTTTAATTAAATTAATAATTATAATCAAAGCAAACAAAGAATAATAATGTTTTCTAGGACTGTGTAATGCTGTGTTGTCCAGATTCTGTATAAAATCAAAAATATATATGATATATCCAATATCTAACAGTCAAATGGCGACTTAGTCTTCTGATGTAATTAACGAAATGCATACTGTTAGTGTTTTGGAAACACATTTAAAAAACCTATAAAATTACCAAAAAAAAAAAATCTCGTAAGATGTTTGTGAACTCCTGCATGGTTAAGATGTACTTGGTGCATTGAGATTTGTTATTGAGAACTGAGCTACGCGGTTAAAGGGATTTAAACATTTGCTTTCATTATTTCCTTCTGTCTCCGCGCGTGTTCGGAAAGTCCGCGAGCAGAACGCGCGCGCCTCAGCTTTTCACCGCAACGTCATCCAAGGTTTCGCTCTGCATTACAATTAGGCTCAGAAATGAAACATTTTCCTTTATTTTTACTTCACAATGCTAAGTGTGCTGTATTACATGTATTTTACATGTATGCAATATAAATTATCAGACACGTGCAGGGGGTAGGGGTGGGGTGCCCCTTTGGCCCGAACGATTGAAATTGTCCTCAATTTTTATTGATGATAATCGGCGTTCACCTAAAATATGTTGAGGGGGACCCCTCCCCTCGGTCGGAAAAATGTAATAAGCTGTTTCAAATCACAGGTTACACCTAAACCAAATTTGAAAATCAAAAAGTGAAACTGGACCAATAATAGTAATATAAAAATTTGCTTTCATTTTCATACAATTTTTACATTTACAGTTAGCCTAATTCAAATTGTTTCCCTTGTGAAAACGAGAAAGATTAAAACTAAATTAAAACACGGCTTACAAGTTTGTCTTGTAAGTTTGTCAATATTATACAAGTGTCATTTTATTATTTGAATGAAGACGTTTATTAGTTCTGCGGCTTTCAAGAAATGTGCCATTTTACTGAATTTTCACTTTGCCACATATAACTTTTCCTTTTATGTGCATATTATTCAATGCTTTACCACGTTTTGCTATTTTGGACAATTATAATAATTTTGACCATCTGAGGCTGTCTTCCCTTGGGACAATAATGAATGTATCTAATGCACAAGAACATACACAGGTTGACTGGTTGGAATATGATGCTGTTATTTTTTGTTTTTAAATTTGCTTCTGCAATACTAAAAAAAAACATATCACCGCCTGCCAATTCATGTAATGTGATTTCATGGCCGAATGATTTACAAAGATACAATTATTGTATAATTTTGTACTTTGGTTCCCTTTGAGTACTGCTTGAACTATGATTACAACATCAGAGGTTTTAGGTAATGTAAACAATTTATTTAACCTGTATGAACTCAGACCATCTGGATAAAAAAGTACAATTACACATGAATCAGAAACATTTATTTCGATTTTGTATCTTTCCATTTTAATACATTATAATGTTGTGACTGAACTGAAGAATATAAACTATTCATTTTTATTAACATCTTTGTCTTGTGTATTTTTTTTTACAAATAACGCTCAGTAAACAGTTTCGATTCATTCACATAATACAAAATAATTTATATTAATATCATATTAAATACTACCTCTAAACACACTGCCAAAGACGTTGTCCTTTCTCATTCATTCACCATATTAGTCATTTTTAAAATAAATTAGGCTATGTGAAAACATCACAAAGATGTAAACTATCGCATTGATATAATAACCGAAGAATCCGATTGGCAAAGAAAGTAACAAAGGAGGTCCCACTGCAGTGTTTAAAATGTGAAGGCGTGTAAGAATTTAATGTTGTCGCCAATATTTCTTGTGCGTGTAATTTGCCCAGGTATGCGTCGAATACCTAGGCTGTGTATGATGTCAGTGTGTCTATAGCCTACCAGAAATAATTCGCTGCAAAAATATAAACACTACCCCACTGCTGCTGTATTGCTGCTCCACCTCATAATGCAATGCAAGCGCAGAAAAGCTCCCTCACTCTCACACATCAGATCTCCTTCGCTTTTATTTAATTGCCATCTGGTGGCACCGCAGATGACGCAGCCTCGCCGGAGGACAAGACGCTCGGCTCGCAGATCAGTAAGAAGAGGGGCGCATCTCCTTAAGATAAAAAAACATCTATAGGCACTGCGAACGGCCACATCTGGGTGCTTTTTAAAATGATGTGGCATGCACGGAGGAGAATTGCGGCTTGGGTAAGACCTTCCTTCCCCCGCCAGCTGACTGTCCCCCCCTCCAAACGCCGCGCCGCGCTGCATTCTGGGAAAAACCGCTCTACGCCCAAAATGGCGGCAGGGTTGAAAAGTTGGTGATGTTTCATTCCAGTTATCAAACCTCCTATTTTTAATATACTACATCCTGTGTGTTTTACTATTAAGAAAGTCCCTCGTTTTTAGGATAGAGGGGGAAGCTGCGCTCCGTCGGACGTGCGAGTGGCGGCATCGGTGAACCGTAAGTTTTGTGTCACCCAGCAAAGTTAGCGAGCCCGGGACCTCGTCGCCCGGTTACTTTTGCATGGAAAGTGCTTACGGACGCTTTCGCCGCGGCGACCATGCCGGTCGGACTTTGGGCACCTCACACGCTAAAATGACGGCGAGGAGAATCTGCAGATAGAGATGGAGGATGACGGCAAAAAGGCAAAAAAGGTAACTTTCCCGGAGCGGCAGTCGGGGGCGGCCGTCAGCCCCGTCACGCTCCCCGGGCACCGTACCGGGATGTACCGCCCGGTCCTGTTCATGAGTGCTCCTATGTGAGAAAACTAACAGCTCGATATGTTGTTATGCCAGCCACCACTGCTGTCTGCTTTGCAGGCGGCGTCATCATAACCGGAAATCCCGACGTGTGACGTCATGCGGTGGTTACGTGGCGTCATTCGGTCGCTACGAGACGGCAGTGACTGACGAAATGGTTTAAGTGTTACATTCTTATGCCACAAATACATTGGAGGGAACAGGTGCATGGAGGGTCAAACACCTATGCAATGCAGAACAAAAAGCAGTGCAATAAGAGACAAAACAGTGCAAGACAAAAGGGAATAGACGTAATAAAACATTAATTATTTTGGGGTAAACTGGGGCACACGGCCCCCAGTTTATTTATTTGCTGTGGGGCACATGTGTGTTTGGATTTAGCACCATGTCTGATTAACACTATCAACTTACGATGCTGTTAACCAGCCTGATAAATGTATTAGTTCCTCCCTACAAAACATATGTTGTAATTTTCATGTAATTTTCATGAACATGTAACCATATCGTTGTGAAACTGTAGGATTAACAGTGTATACTTTTGGAACCAGTCAGAAGATTTGTCATGATGAAGTTGACAATCATAAGTAAATGACACAATGTCCCTTTTCCCCTAAACAACTGTCTGTTTGATATTATGAGTTTTATTAGTTGAGTCTGTTAATCTCATTAATTACTTTAACTGCTTTGGTGGTATTTTGGAGACAGAATACTTGTCATGTTTAGTTACACAATGTCATGTCTCAAAATAGTTAGAATCACTGTTGTCACTAAGGGAAAAAAAATGTATTTTATGAATATTTAACATTTTAATATCTATAGTTATTTAGTGCATTCTATTGCATCCCCAAGTAGGAAATGATTTCTAGGTAAACATAATTTTCAGATTGTGTTTTATTCTGCAAGTTAGCCTATTATAAACATATAGTATTTGACGTGTGTGTAATGGAAATGATTATGATTTTTTTAATCACATTCCTTTACTTGTGGTTTGTTACACTCATTTGCTATTTTATGTATATATTATTATATAACAAAGCAGCAAACTAGTGTAAGAAACCACAAGTAAAGGAAAGTTTTGTTAAAAAAAGACCATGATTATTTCTATTCCAATGTCATATTTCTTAACCAGACACACATACACACACACACACACACACACACACTCTTCCATTTCTGTATTTTCCCAGTGTATTCACACGAGAGAATGCAGGGCAGGGCATGTAAACGTTAGACAGGATGTGACTCCCTCCTATCAGCCCAGACCAGCAGTGCGGAGAAGCACTTCAGTGGAAATACTGGTCTGCCTTTTCAGGCTGAGCCCTTCCTTGGCCCAACCTGAGTGACCTGCAAGTCCCTTCACGGTTATCTGTGAAGATGGCCCACGGGCTGCTTTCCAGCTTTAGCAGAATGTTTGCTCTGGTTTCACTCTCCCAATCCATTTTGCTGAGCTCTCTATAGTCTAGAATGGTTTTTGGATATTTTTTTGTTTTTGTTTGGTTTTTCCTCATTGCATGTGCTCCTAATACTTTATGTGTGGGGTGCTTTTTCCGCAATGTAATGGTAAGTAGGGTTTGATCTTGTCATGGCTCATCCGCTAGAATAAATATTTAACCAAAATGCTGATATCTCTCCAAAATATGAAAAAACAAAACAAGCTACCTGCAGAATTATCCTGGTTATAGGCTGTTGCTGTTGTTTTTTAAGTTGAGTTTGATTACAGTAGATGGCAGCACTAAACAGTACATTTGTTCACAAACAGGCTTTAAAAACACAATTGACTGCTTGATCATATTTGGCTAGTCACTGCTTTTCTGTTCTTGGGAATCCTTAAATAGAGGCAGATAAGATGTCAGACATACTGTATTCCTCCACTGTCACAAAGGCCCACATTTCAGCTGCTCATTTACTTAAGCCAGTGTTAATTGTTCTTCTGCTTAAATTTGGTCCAGTTTTGGTTTTAATGACCAAGTGAATTAGGTAACCACATTGATCATTTTTAGTTTGTTTAATTTTTAGAAAGGGAAGTCTCTCTAACTCACTTCACACAGGGGACCCAGCTAACTTAACATCTCGACGGATTCTTACACTTGACAGTCCACATGTATCTTTTCTTTTTTTTTGTCAGTCCAATAATACCAAGTGATAACATGTAAAAATACAACTTTAAAAGCTTACAGATCATTAGTGACTGATTAATGATTAATGTAACCAACTGGAAGTTAGATGAGCCAGTGATTGACAGTAAGCTGTAATTCTGTCCACCATGTATTTTGAAGCCTTGTGTTCCATTATTTTATTTACTAGCAATTGTGAAAGATAGAACCTGAATATTATACATTCACCCATGTGTCATAGGGCTATATACATAAAATATGAATGCACCTTGAATTTGGATGCTGTTCCAAGGTTGATGGTTTCATATGATCACACAAGGTCATGTTAAAGCAACAAGATGGTACAGATACATATTTGGTGTTTTCTTTTTGGAGCTAGCATTCAGCCCTTGTGCCATTAAGATTTCTGATTTTTTTGTTCAATTCCCATATGGGATTTTGGCCACAGTGCTTAAATGTCTAAAAATTGTAAAAACAAACATGAATAACGAGAAACATTCATTTGAGCCGCCACAGTCACTTCCAGTAATGGTGTTTGTAAGATCAAGAAAGTGAAAAGTTGTGTTGGTGTGAGCAGCAAGTGTATTGACAGGAAGTGGTGGTGGTTCTGCTTCCTGTTCATCTGCTCCGCCACTGCTCTGCTCCTCTCCTGAGCATAGAGACGTTTCTTATTGCTCAGGCATGTGGAGGTAGGCGAAAGCTGCGCTCGTGCTCAGTTGGCTAGGCAGTGGCATGGGATAGGCATCACCTCCTGAATATTTCAAGACGGGCTTGAAGTTTCATGGAGAGCGAGGTAGGGCGGCGCTGCTGCGGGCGGCTTGGCCGGGGGGCTGGCCGGCCTTTGTGTTTCTTTGGCTTTTTGCGTCTTGCATTCTTCTGTCTGAAAGTTTATGCAAAGCTCATTTTTATACCGCGCACGTGGTCCGAGGCGCTTTTGAGCTGAAGGAAAGCAAAAATATGATTCAAATAGCTGACAGATTCAGTTGAAAGAGAAAGGGAAGTGCGAGTTTGGTTCTAAGAGGCCATCAGATCTACACAGCGCTCACCCCTAAAGATCAGAAATGAACTTTGCTGTATTTTATTTTATTAAAAGTGAAATAAGGGCGGAAAGAGTGGTTGAGCATACAGTAACATTTGTCGTACAAACTTGTTGGTGGAGATCAGCACATTGCGTTCAGGCAAAGAGACACTCCGCCAAGCAGGCCTAACACTTTAATCCTTTAAAGTAGGAGTTCTCAACCCTTTAATGTCCGTGGAATGGTTTACGTCATACAAATATTTCATGACCTGGGAGAACTTTTCACTCAGTGGGGAGCTACCAGTGGATTGATTAGTCATTGATTTCATGAGTTTAACCATTTCCATTTTTTTCAGATGGTTTGAAAATGTATAGTTTCTTTTTAGAAATTAACTAACCCCTCCTCCAAACCCCTCAGCGAAAAAATGGCTGTGGGCTGGAACCCATACTTTAAAGAGCTTTAATCTCTTTGATTTGGACTCCTGATTGACTGAATACAAGGCAAGATCTGTTATCAGGCTGTAAATTAGTCTGTTTTATGCTTGCGTTTGGGTTTTTCTTTTATTTTTTTGAGGTGCCCCGTGAAACAATTCGCAACGGCAAGTATTTTTACCTCTGTTGCTCTTGCAGTCTTGGTCACACCCAGCTCCCACCTTTCCTCTTCAGGTCTGCTTGTAGTTTCCTGTTATGAATCATCTACTTTTCTGGGCAAATAACCACTTAAAAAGGAAGCAGATGCAATATGTGATATGTGGCATCATGCTACTTCAATAGCCAAAGGCAGTGTTTCCCATTCCGGTCCTCGGAGACCCGCAGACAGTTCATGGTTTTGCTGGGAGGGAGCAAAATCATGGACCATCTGTGAGTCTCTGAGGGCCGGGTTGGGAAGCACTGGCCAAAGGAATTCCCGTAGGTTTCGCTTGTGCATGGCGATTAAGTGAGGGCCTTCCGGGAGTCGTTCATGAGCCCCTGCGTGTCATCTTTCGTCTCTCACAGCCTGGTATTGCGTCTCCATTCAAGCGCGTCTTCCTGAAGGGAGAGAAGGGGAGGGACAAGAAGTCCCAGGAGAAGGCGACGGAGCGTCGGGCCCTACATACAGTCTCCGTGTCCCAGCCCGATCACCGCGTCGACCCTGAGGTCCTGCTCAATGACTACATTGAGAAGGAAGTCAAGGTCAGAAAGCTGTCAATGTTCACTAGATATGTATCCAAAGATGCTGTCTCAGTACTTTTGAAATTCATGCCCAAGTAATTTCACAGTGTGCATTATAAAGAAATCAATTTTATTGTGTTTGTTGTGTTTTTAAAGTATTTAGGGCAGCTAACATCAGTTCCGGGGTACCTAAATCCTTCCAGTCGGACAGAAGTTTTGCATTTGATTGATAATGCCAGGGTAAGGGTTTCTCCTTCAAAATTTTACCAGCATGAGGTACGGAATTGCTACTGTAATGTAATGGCATAGTGTAAAACAGTGTGCCAGCTAAGATGTTCAAGATTCAAGATCCAGCTGTTTGCTTCAAACTTGGGCCACCCAGCCCCCTTTCAGGGAACAGCTGAAAGATTTTGGACACTTTGAATTACTTCATTTGCTTTGGAAACTACAGCCAGACTTTGTTTAATAAATCTGCTTGAACACTCCCCTGGCGATGTGCAAGGAGCCGGCTGACAGACTGTTTCCCTCCGCTGTCCACAGAAGACCCACCAGCTCCCAGGACAGCTGACAGCTGAGCAGGATGCGCTGGTCAGCCTCTCAGCCTACAACGTGAAGCTGGTGTGGCGTGATGGCGAGGACATCATCGTGCGGGTGCCTATCCACGATATCGCCGCCGTGTCCTACATCCGTGACGACTCCCTGCACCTCATAATACTTAAGACAGGTATGGGAAGACAAAATTAAACCTACTTATCTTTGGAATTTGGCAACATGGAAGAGTACTTGGGGGCCTTTAGCTCGGTCCTTATTTGTTTTACACAAATTATAATTATTTCCTTATTGGTGAGCCAGTGATTGACAACGCTGGGTAATCCCACCCACTGTAGTTTTTTTTTCTCTTCCATTGGTACCCAAATGTGATATTTTCAAATAGTGTTCAGCACATCTTTTCATGCATGCTAACATACATGCACAAAGCATGCAGGCTGCGTGTCCTGCCCTCAGACCCAGCCCAGCTTGAGACCTCTGCCCTGTGCCCTCCAGCCCAGGAACCTGGAGGCTCCCCTTGCCCAAGCACCTGCCCAGACGCGTCCAAGACCCAGACCCTGAGCTCGCTGCCCGAGAGTGGCCCCATGTTGTTGGACGTGTGCAGCCTGCTGGTGCTCGCTGTGGAGAACAAAGTATGGCCATCAGGACCCCAAGCCCAGTAGCGCAGTGATCCTGAGGCGGCCACGATAGTGCCTGATTTCTGATCGTGCTCATGTTTCCCACAGGCTGCCGCTGAGGAGCTGTGTTTGCTTCTTAGCCAGGTCTTCCAGATAGTTTACACAGAATCTACCATCGACTTCTTAGACAGAGCGATATTCGATGGGGCCTCGACACCCACCAGACATCTGTCATTGTACAGCGGTAAGTACATTTCCTTGTTGATATACATTCTTTATGATAATATATATGGGACCATTTACAGAATATGTGCTAATGAATATATATGTTAATATCAACAATGCATGTTGAACAGTTTTCTGCAGAATGGTAAAGGTATTCCAATTCTGATGTCATACACATGAATTGTCACATCATAGGAGGACCATCTGCAGGCCTCACTAAAATATTTTTATTCAAATGATAATAGCTTTTTTATGTAGCACCTTTTTGTACATCTGAATGCAGCTCAAAGTGCTTTTTAGAGAGCGCAAACAAAAAAATAATAAAAGCAAAAAGAATAAAAATAATATAAAATAGAATCAAGTTAATAATAAAATAAATCAATCAAACATTAGGAAATCATATTAAGATATGGAAATAAATAAACAAACAAACATGACTTTAACACAGCAAAAACGATCTAAAAGCCAGGATAAAAAAAGTATGTTTTAATCTGCTTTTTAAAAATAGAGAAGAGGCCTGACATTTTATCCTGTGATAACGTAACAAGCTTCGCAATGTTAATGATTGTTCCTCTTCAAGATTTTCTCTAGTATCTTAAAAAAAATCACGTGTAAAGTTTACCGCTGCTGCTCTGCATTCACAATTCGAGACAATCAGAATAATTTTCGTCCTTGCTATTGGACGATATGTTCGGCGCATTTGAGAGAAATTTAACAAAAATGGGCGAGGAGGAGAAAAGAGAAGAAAAACTGGTCACATTCATCTTCCGCCATATGGGCGTGTTTTGGATTCCTTAGAGATGATATTGAGCAAAAACAAAAGAGTAGTCAGTACCACTTTCTGCCTGTTGGCACAACTGTGGCAACACCAGCTTATTTGACAAAATCTTTTGGTAGATAATAAGCTATAGCTAAATAGATTTTATTATTTTGGGTAAATTTTTTGTTTTTTAAACACCACGATATTTATCAGAAAAATTTCAAATGTCATATGTTTTTTTTCCAAGTTCATTCAGCCATTCAAGTTGAGTCTTAGCTCATACGGTTCTATGTGTTTAATTCACAGATGACTCCTCAAGCAAAGTCGATGTGAAGGAGCCCTACGACACTGAAGAATTGTAAGTCTTGAGAAGCTTTAATTCCAATTTTAGGTTGTCATTCTCAGGCCTGGGACAGTTACATTCAATGGAAACAATCAATGGGAAGCAGGTTTAACCAGTCAGAAGATTTGTCACAATGAAGTTGACAATCATAAGTAAATAGCACAATGTCCTTTTTTTTCCTAAACAACTGCCATTTTTCACTACTCACTCACTAATCCTTTATCTTGCTAACTTTCTCATTAAACATGTGCACCCATGGTGACCAGGATTGCAATGTGGTGTCAGTCACTGGCTCAGTCTTACTTCCCAGTAGCATAACCGATTGACGCAATCCCATCAGCCATGGGTTTCAGATCTTCTAATTTTAGAATGAGATGGCCAATGTGATTGTGAGGAGCCTTATATACTCATCCCAAAAGCAAGAGAGAAATGGATTAATTTACATTTACAGATATTCTGACAACCCTGGTAATTTTTGGACTGGTGTCTCTGAAATTCTTTGGAAATCAGAAGGGAAACGAAACCAAATTTAACCGCGAAGATAGATGATCAGCAAGTCAAATTCAAATGTTGAAAACGCTAAGATAAAAAAGATGGCTTCCTGCACCGAGATCAGGGTCATGGTGTTTTCTGAAAAAGCAGAGTTGGTACCCATGAGCTTGGTGATATTTATTGTAACACTCCCGTCTGCCCCTGCACAGCCCCTTCCAGGGCCCTCTAGACATGGGGGGAAACTCCTTGGCCTCATCCCCCTCCACACCGGCGTCTCCGCAGGCACACGCCACCAGTGACAGTGAGCTGAGCACCACGGCTGCAGAGCTGCTGCAGGACTACATGACCACGGTACGCTAAGGCCCAGGGTTAGCGTTAGTCTGGCCGGAGCCCCGGGTCTCAGATGTGAGGACTTTGGTTTACAGCCTCCTAGTTTGAATGTTATTCATAATGAATTTGCAGAGGTCCCAAGACAGGGAATGTAGGCACCGAGAAATCTCTTAGTTCCTCTTTGACAGACCTGTCAAACCATCTGTTTGCCTGTCCAGCTTCGGACCAAGTTGTCCTCTCAGGAGATCCAGCAGTTTGCCACGCTGCTGCATAAGTACAGGAACGGCTCCTCCATCCACGAGTTCTGCATCAACCTGCGGCAGCTCTACGGTGACAGCAGGAAGTTCCTCCTCCTGGGTAAGAGTTTGTGGTCCTCCTCCTAGGACTGGTTTTGCAAAGCTTCACACAACAAATTATGGAAAAATAACGGGAGCATATGCTCCTTTTCTGTAATTAAGAATCTGAATTTCTTTTTATTTTGCTTCTCTCTTACTGGGCTAGATGAGGATGGTCTACCAAAAGGGATTTTTCATTCTTTATTGGACTTTAGTAGCATCTACCAGGCTCTCTTCTTTATCCCTTTCCATTTCTTCTGCACTCCTTTGGTGACCCCTATGTAGGACTCAGGCCCTTCATCCCCGAGAAGGACAGCCAGCACTTTGAGAACTTCTTGGAGACCATCGGTGTAAAGGACGGGCGGGGAATCATCACCGATAGCTTTGGGAGGTACCGGCGGACCCTGAGCACCACCTCTAACTCGACCACCAACGGCAATGAAGCGGCAGAAGGTGTCGACGAGCAGCCAGTAAACACCGAAGGCGACGATTGGGACCGCATGATCTCGGATATCAGCAACGACATCGAGGCGCTGGGCTGCAGCATGGACCAGGACTCCTCGTGAGGAGGCCGACCTGGGACGGTCGCGACATGGATGCTCTGAGGACCGGATGCCATTTCAGCAGTATTGTAGCCGAGTTCGATGTCCTCCGTATCTCTTGCCTTGTTGTAGCCTGTAGAGTGTGACAGCTGGTGCCGAAAGCTTTGCGCACACGGGTGACCCTGTATCGGCAGTATCTGCTGAACCTTAATGAGGACACGTCTGAGCCGCCTTACGAGAACCCACGTAGACCTCCAAACTTCAAAGGCTTGAAGAAAGTACAGAAGTCTTGCTTTTATATAGCTGCGGTTGTAATATCGTCATTTGGTTTGTATCCTCCATCCCCAAGGTCACTGTATCCTGAAATGTATGCAGAGTTTGAGAGATTGTGGCTAATTCTGAAGCATGTTTTACTGTTTTTTTTTTTCTCCTCTCCACATTGCAAGATGTACTCAATGCTTTTTGCGGCTGCCAGTCCGACCCGATTATTGGTAGCCGTACGTTACATTTACAGTTGATGCTTTGCTTTCGATTACATGAAGGCACCGTTTATTTGATGCTCGGCCGCTTCCATCGAGTGCTCCTCTTAGACATTGGGAAGAAGAGCTGAATTTGACAAGGCCAGTCTATGGTTGATAATTCTTAAGACTCCTAAATCCCTTTGTGTATTTTTCTTTAGGCTCTGGTGTCAAAGTTGCATCACCATAAAATTTCGCGCGACGATTTGGTCTGTGTTTATTTCAGTTGGGAGAATAACTGCTGAGTGCATGAACCAGCTGAAAGTATTGAAAGGGAAATGAATCCCGTCACCAGGCAACCGGATGTCAGTTCAGGATTGTCATGTTTCAATGCACCACTTAGCCTCACATCTGCAGCGCGAATTTCCAGCAAATAAATTTGAATAAAACATAGAAGTGTAATAGGAATGTCACATTTCCATCAAGGACCTACTCCCAGCAAATACAATAGTAGAAAATTATCCTGCTGGCTTAAAACTTGACTTTAAAAAATTGATATAAAAGAAACCGAGAAATGGTTCCCTAAATATGTGCCGTGCATGTGACATGAAGCAGTGTCTAGATTTTTTCAGTTATGTTAGAAATTAACAGAATTTATTAAAAAAAAAAAAAAAACAAGAGTTGCCTTAATTCCTCGACAACATTTCACACAGAAAGCCTTTGAGAGACTTTGGCTAAGTAAGGATACCAATAGAGAACAAATTCCTGAATTGTCTCTCATAGCTATTATTTTTCACCCTGATGTCAGATGAAGTCTGTTGGATATAATGTCTTAAATTCATTGTCACATCATTTTTTTCTGTTCATTAACTGCTTAGCAGCAGGTTTGTGCCGCTAGATTCTTCCCCCTGACTGATTCCCAAACCTCGGTTCTGCTTGATTTTGCATTCAAATGACACAAGCGGTTATTTATATACCCAGTCAGGTGGTACTCAATGCCAAAAATGCAGAAATAAAATTCTAAAAGAATTACTCCTATTAATGCCTTCTTACAGAACTGCTTGTTCTTAACAGATTAAAGGGGAAACACTTGTCAGCAAGTTTGAAAGCAACTACTTTCCTAAACGCCAGATGCCTTTAAAAAACAGAAAACATACACCCACTATGGACAAACTCACGCACTTTTGCAAAATGAAAATAATTTGGAAGGAAACCGGGACCTAATCCTCATGTAGAGAGACTTTTTGAAAACATGCGGTTGTCTCACGGTCCAAGATATTTATGTCACACTGCAATATAAAATGCAGCAATTTGCTCTGTATAAGAGTGTCTGTTAAACTAATAAATGTAAACATAGATCCAGTAAAATCATGGAAGTTGTCTAATGTGTTTTGTTGATTTGCAAAGCCAGTATAAACTCATGTGATGATACTTTTGATACTTTTCACCCCCAATTACGTTTGCTGTGATGTTCTGCTGGCTTGTCTGAGAGGCTGCATGTTTTCTTTGCTTTGGATATTGCTGCGCAGTGTCACACCCCATCTTCAGGGCAGTTATTGATTTCCACCACCCCAAAAATGAGAAATGGAGTGAGGATAGGGTAGGTGCTAGAGTAAGCCCGGATTTGTTTGTTAGGTTGGGTTTGCAGGGTTGGGTTCGCAATTTGGGGTCTTTAACTTGCCTTCCTCAACTTAATAAAACTTTGCTTTTATGGCCTAGTCAACACTTTTTAAATTAGACTGTCCCTCTGCTATTTTTCTCTAATCCTAAAAAATATTTCACCTTGTAATTAATCTGTATTTGAAGTCCTGGTTCGTGGTGGTAATTATGAGATGGATACCGCAGTAAGGGTCCTTCGGTGAGTACATTTTGTGGCAGTACTGTACTACTCTCTGTTAATCTGCAACAGAATGAAGAGCCAAGAGGTAGGAAACCACACCAGTTTTGTGAGAAGTTGTACTGTAAATCCGTAACATACACATGTAGCGTAACTAATGCTCTAGTTTATGCCTTTATTTCATTCGCGGTTTTCTAAGGAATAACCGAGCATGTGAACTATGCCTAACATTGAAGGTGTTGAGCATTATTGTGGTCAGAGAACACAGCCTCATGCCTGCTGACCCAAAGGGGTGGCTATGTTGTGTAGCGTTTGTACCACTGGAAGGCAGAGCATGCTGTAGAAGTGCTGTTCCTCTACCTCCGCTTTCCCACCAAAATGGCCGCCCGTCCACCACCTATCACACATAACCGGGAATGTTTTAACTGTGCGCAACAAGATTTTGAATCAGACGAGGTTCAAAAAGCTTTTTTTTTTTTCTCAATTTAACTTTTCATTTTATTTTGTATGTGCTGGTTTGTGTACTGCTTTGTGTATAAAATTCTGTTCATTGCTTTTTTTTTGTAGAATATTTTCATTGTGCGATAAAGATTGATTTGCATCACGCCTTTGTTGTGTATTTTTGTATTTTGTGCGTAAGTCTTAAGCAGAGGGAGTCACGCCTTCTCACGCAGTTTCATGTTTTTTTATAAATTCCTGCTCCATTAGAAAACAGAGGGTCATTATTTGTTCTCAGCACAAGCCCAAAGGCACCGTATGGCCCCTTGGTGGCGCTAGAGATCCTTGACTTTCTCGGGCGAGGTTGATTGCCTGCAGTAGGTCCAGACCCTCTCAAAGGGTGTGGGACATTAAATGACCACCTGGTGACCCCAGTAATCCAGTCTATTTTGGTAAATGCCCCGCTAGTGTGCAATGAACAATGGGGATCCTTCTCAGGAAATGTTCCATTTTTGGGTGTCTTTACCTCAACTGGCATGATGACTTTATTAATGGCTAATTTGAGGACTGGAGTTTGGTTTTAAACCCCCTACATTAATGTGCATACATTGCTGGTGGAATGTTTCAACTGAAATATGGCCTTTGTAGATTTATTGTAAAGGAACTAAGTGAAGTCTGCCCGTATCATTCTACCCTATGACCACCACTGCCCCTTAATCTTCCTCTTTTATGCATGCTATGTATATGTTTGTATTCGAGCAGTATGTGATATAGCTGGCTAAGCCTCTGTGGTTATGACCAGAATCTCGCTGGCTCCAACCCTGGCCTAGACAGCCAAGTCACATGCCTGTGGGCGCTTGAGCAAGGCCCTTAACCCCTAGCTCCCAGGGCGCTGACCCAGCACTGTGTGTCGAGTGGGGAGCAAGATGGGTTAAGCAGAGAGAGATTTTCTGCACCGGGATTAATAAATTCTGTGCATTTGAGGCTTAATTCCTCACCCATTCATGTTGTAAAGTATTGCTGGCTTAATGAAGAGAACCAGCAGCGGTTTGGTCAGTATGTGACTACGGTCAGTAGTGATGTGGAGTGGCACTTGTTACCATGGCGACCCTCTGCAGCAGCTTTGGACAGGTCAGGAACCCTAAAGTCACTCGCAGGTCGCCTTGCGTCTGCTGTAGGGGGGCTGGCTGGGGGGTCCTGTGGCATCTACAGCACAGCCGGTCTGGAAGGGGACTTAGAGTGGTATGGAATTACTGCTTAATTAGGGGACAAATTAAATAATTAACTACGCACTAGAGTGATCAGTGCGAACACATGGTGATGGTTACAAAACATGCTTTAGAATGCATTAAAATGATTTATTAATGAGTTAATCATGCTGACACAAAAGAAGCATTTCTTGGTTTGTGTTTGAGGGAACACAAACGCGTGTGTAACACAGAATGGGAGCCACTGACACAGAGAGCTGACTTCAGGTTGGCTTAATGTGTTCATTACTGAGTCGTGCATCTTATTTTCTAACAATACAGGCATTAAGCACTAGGTGACACTGAAGCATACTGAAAATCCCTGTGTATTACTGCAAAATAATAATAAATATCCAAATACTGTTCCACTTTACAGATGCTCATGACGAATCACAATGTTACACAACAGCTATGACTGGATGCATGAAAGGCAGATTTATAACTAGCTAAACTCTAAGAAATTGCTTCAGTTTTTTTTGTGTGTGTATCTATCCATCCACCCATCTTTAAACCACTTCTGCTGGGTGATCTTACCATTTTTACACAGAGTATTTTTGCAACGAAGCTACTGCAAAACTATGTCTAGGGATTTTCCCACAAGGAGTAGAAAACACAAAAACCCAAACTGCCAGCACAGGGAAAAGTTGAAAATAACCCTCTGAGCTTTTAAAGAAGGCAATGGAGTAAAAAGCCACGACTGTACTATTGCAAATAGCATTTAAAAAAAAATCTTGATTGACGAACTGATGACGACTGAAGCTGGACACCAGAACAGTGCAAGAAAGACAGAGATAATACTTTCTACTCCATCGCCACCAGGAATGTATCGATTTATCTCCGCACACGTTGCACAATCGACTTCTTCTGCTTAAAATGCTAAACATCCTCATTGCTGCCAGCAGACAGCACAGACGTCACATGTCCCTGGTGCACGGTGCAGGTAATAATGAGGGGTTAGCTTGACGCTAACTGCCATCGCCTTACCGCACCGCTACTCATAAATCATCGCACCCACAGAGGAATTCCCGGAGATTGTTGATGAAAGACGCAGTCTTGAAGGTCACACAGGAAGCGTGTGCACGTGACCGGCTTATTTCCACATGCCTATGCGAGAAAGTACCTCTCTCATAGGTCCGTGCTCCAGTTTGCCAGGGATGGGATGTAAATGCGGTATCTATGTTCCCAGGAGGTGTCCCAGAGGAACTGGGGGGCAGACAATGTGCCTGAAAGGGGCCCAGCTACAGGGAGGCACAAATAGTCCCCCCCCGTTATCACCACGATCCCCAGGGAGTAAGGGGGTCTCCCACTGTCTGTCTGTCTATCCATTTATTTATATGTGTATGTATGTATGTATATTTACTATTAAATAATGGAGATCAGATCTGAACTCTGATGTCTTGCATCTTACTAGAGCTGCATCATGAGTTCTCCATAATGTCGGAGCACATAGTGGGACTGATATACAAACCATCAGAGCTCGGACCCAGTCGTCATCATTTTGATTGCTTTATTGTGACTACAAATCCATAGTATTTATCATCTGAGTTGACAGAATGCAGTGTTTGATGTGTTGATATTATTTACTACAGAATTCCGTGCAATACTTCATCTATATCTATCTATCTATCTATCTATCTATCTATCTATCTATCTATCTATCTATCTATCTATCTATCTATCTATCTATCATCTATCTATCTATCTATATATCTATATATCTATCACCTATCTATCTATCTATCTATCTATCTATCTATCTATCTATCATCTAAACCCATATACACAGACACATGCATGGTACGGGGGCATGATGTCAAACAGCACCGACTCAATTTTTTTGGCCTTTCCGAGACATTACTGTGAAAAATGGGCCAAGAGGGAAAAATGGAAGCCCTGCGACTTCAGTGGCCTCAGGAGCAGAGTATCATCTTCTCCAGCTGAGATGCCTGTGAAGCCGAGCCAGTTGGGCATCGTTCAGCGGAGCAGATACAGTGTAACTCTGGCTGCACGGGGAGACGTCGAAAGGGCGGCCTGTCTCATATCTATGGTTTCTGCTCCCGGCTTCATCATGCCAGGGATTAGAGGGCTGCACAACAGACAGAATAAATGAGCAGCAAACGCCTGTTTGCCTTCCTGCACTTATATTGTAGGATAAAATCGGGAGCCATACAATTAAAACCCACACCCCTCGCTGGTATTTGGCAGCAGAAAGAGATGTGGAATTAGCCTTTGTGTCTGTGATATTTCCAAACCAGCCCCGTTGACCTGCCCTTCGGAAGTGAGCTGATTTCTGCAAGTCACTGCAGAAACAGTCCGCAGACGGGTGCGCCCCCACCGACTCTGAGAATGGAAGCTTGACTCATCCATTTCTATTCCTTGTACTGAATGGGCCACAGATCTCTCTGGAAGGGCCAGTTGCAGGGGGAGGGGGGTTATTTTTGTGTGAGAGCTCACAAAGTCAGGCTTAAAATGTAGTTTTGCTTTCCTCCTTCCTATTCACAGTGGTCAAAAAAAAAATTCTGTGATTGCCTGGCATGTGAGTTGGATGGACTGGAGCCTCCCTATGGAGCCGGGCCTGAACCTGGGCGGGAAGCTTGCTGTTGTCTGGGAAACAATGTGACATTTAACCTCCTCGCACAGCAAGTTAAAAAAAAAAACCACAGCACTATCTGCAGGGGGGCTGTAAAGGGGAAGACAATTAGAATCATTTCCAGGGCCCCTTAAAACTTTGGAAAACAATTGGATTGGTCTGAGTTGGGGGCCAAATACGATATGCTTCATAGGGCCCAAAAGCCAAACTATCTGCAATTTAAAAAAAAAGTTATGTCATCTCATGTACAACTGCTACAGTCTTTGTAGAAACAACTTTCCAACAGGATGCAAAGTAAGGCGTGTTGGGATCGCCCCCACTGGGACCAGTGCACCGTACTCCAGAGCTTCATGGGAAATGGGCATCTAGATAAAATGCAACTGACAGATCACACGGCATCAATCAATCGGTGGTGCATTAGCCTGTGGTCAGTTCCAGCAAGGGCAAGTCAACAGGAAGGACATGGCAATGAGTCTTGTGGTATCGTGGAAAAACTCAACATGAACAAGAGAAGAGGAAGGGGACTGACAGATGAACAGATGCACCTTTTATCCAAGCGATGGACTGATGTTAGACCATGGTCACCGTTGGTCTCAATAGGTACATACATTGCAATAATGCATCAAACCTGATTTTGATGTGGCCAGGAGTTTATGCAGCAGAACAAACAAAAAGTAATTATTTACAGAACAAAAGGTCCTAAATGTCTGAAAGTCAAACAAACCTTAAAAGATAAAGTAAATGAAACAGAAACTGTGGAAATCTTAGAGATGCCAGAATGCACTTCATTTTCTCTACAGGTATAAGAATGTCATTGTAAAGTACGATGAAGAGTTTCATATACTCTAGGGTTTGGCTTCTCGGGGGGGGAGGAAATTTACAGCCCTCAACTGATTATATAAATGAATGAGGAGTATATGCTCCTCTACCTTCTATAAAATAATAATACTAAAATAAAGAACAACAGAAACAAAAACAAAATGACAAGAGTGTACAGAAAAAGGATGTAATGATAATAACAATAACAACAATTCTATTAACACACTGGTTTTGGTCCCAGGTATAATCAACTGCAGATTAAAGCATCTAAAGGCATAACGATTTTTACTGTCTGTCATTTTAATTTTTAATTATTCTCACGCCATGGTCTGTCCATGAAATTCGGGTGGGTTGGGGATTCATCCGCCTGGCTCCTGCCCCTCTGCCCCCTGCTGTGGCCACTAGCAGAGGGAGAAACGGCGGGAGTTGATGTTCATCTTGGTGACGCCGATGAGCCGGAGGGGGGCGGAGAGGCCGAGGCCCGGTGTGACGGGGAAGTCGCACAGCAGGTCCGAGAGCTCGTCACGCTCCTCCAACTCCAAGGTGGCGTCATTGAGCATCCGGCGGTGCAGGTGGCACGTCTGCTCGATCTTCAGCTTGCTGATGTCGCTGCGCAGCCGCATGAGCTGCCGGGCCAGCTGCTGGTCCTGTGCGCGCATGTCTGCCTGCACAGACGGAGTGGGGGACAGGGCGTGACTGCACAGGCTATACAACTCATGCTAGGAAACGCTAAAGATAGTGCGGGATTATTTTCCTGGCGACTTTCTCTTGTTCCCGTTCCCTGCTTTCCCGTTTAGGCATCGATGAATCTTAATAGCGAAATATTATGGCCGACGGGAAACAAGGAGCTGTTACCCATGACGAACAACCACAGAAATGTGCTACGAATCCAGGCCTGGGATTCGGGTGGATCAGAGTTGTTGTTTGTTCAGAGGTTTTACCTGGCAGAAGACAAAACTGACCGTCCAGTTTGTCGCCGCCAGTGCCCAGGGAAGGGAGAGATGCAGGTGGCTATAGAGCGATGCTGAATTGATGGTACACAGGGGTGGAAAGTTAAGATCAAGGGAAGAGAAAAGATGGTGGGAGCACTGAAGGAAGAGGCAGCGATGCAGTCACCCCAGGAGCCTCCGGCAAGCACGCGTGCCAGCCGACCCCTCACGCAAAGCAGCTTCAATGGCGAGATGGGCAAGGCAGCAGGAAAATGTGCCTTTCCTCTGACGTGCTCCCTTTTCACGTGTCTGGCTTTAACGGCCCGTGAATGAAAGCCAAAGACCACGTCAGTGGGTGAACAGGAAGTGGACACGTGTGTGAACGAGGCAGCTAATCAGAGCCGCCCTCTCCTGCACAGATCGTAACTGTCACTTTAAGTCTAAAGAAATGCAGAAACTAGACACCAGATGTATGTGTTTGAGCTGATTCTCTGATTGTGCTGATAGCTTGTGCTGATCCTCTGATTGTACTGATAGCGTGTGCTGATCCTCTGAATGTGCTGATAGCTTGTGCTGATCCTCTGATTGTGCTGATAGCTTGTGCTGATTCTCCGATTGTGCTTATAAGCTTCTGCTAATTCCATGCCACTGCTGATTCCCTGATCGCATCAATTGTTTGTGAAGCTTGTTCTATTTTCTGGTGACATGCAGTTATCACACTTGTATTTGTCAACAGGAAGGCTGCTTGGGTGAGCTTATGGTCACAAATAGAAGTGCAACAACTGTATGTCTATTAGAAATCTGCAAGCACTCCTAAAGCAATGGATCTTGAGGATGATAATTGAGCTGTGTTCAATAGCTTCATTAAGTAAACCATCCATGCCAAGTTTACCAGGTATATCACAATTAAAAGGAAGTTTGTTAATCCTAAAACCCAGATAACATATAACATACCTGCCCCATCACCCTTCAGTAAACTCTTACCAGTTCCTTCCTGAGCCATTCAAGGGCCTCATCAATGTTGTCAAACCCTTTCAGACTTGCTGGAGGCAGCTGACCTTCCCGGACCAAACTGGAGTTTACGGTGCTTCGTCTGGATCTCCTAGAAGCTCCCCTCTGCTCCTCTGACTTGGTCTGGCCCTGATCCCGGGCCAGCTGATCCTGGGCATTCTGAGTCTCCAGCTGGGCCTTCCACTCCAGATAGGAGGGCCTCCTGGTCTCCAGCCTCAGCTTCTCTGTCAGTGCCTTTAGACTCCTGAGGTGGTCGTCATGGGGACCAGCAAGTTCTGGTCTACCTGCAGCCTCTGTGTCACACTGGGGTGTTGCAACTGCATCCATGGTTAATTCACCATTTAAGACCTAAAAAAAGCCAAACCTGGAAAAATCAAAAGAAATCCACATCATGACCTTTTATGTTTTATTCATTAACATCCAAACAAACTAATTTCTCCTTTTGGAAACATGAACAAGTGCTGACAAAGTTATTTCCACAAAATGAGAATTCTTCTACTCTACCAAGGCAGATGGAGGCGATGAGGTGACATACCATGAAAATGTACAGGATATAGAGGTGGAAAGTTCAGGTCCAGAAAGTACAAATCCAGACCAAGATTTTGTTTCAACCAACTAGTTCAGTACTCTGTGACTGTGACTCTTTATACTCAAGTGGTTGGTTGAAACAAAATCTTGGTCTGGATTTGTACTTTCTGGACCTGAACTTTCCGCCTCTTCTTTTCCTAATAGTTTCACTGAATCACTGCTCCTTCAATTCCTCCATCATCTCCTCTAACTCTGAAATGGATGACACAAATACGGTATCTTTATCCCAGTGGACCTAAAGTCCAGAAACTATGCGCTGAACCCTGTATTGCATAATAGAAGCTATTTATCTGTTAAACAGTAACTTCTGCTTTTTCATTCTGGTACAGCAAATGGTGCTTACTGTTTCTACATACAGCAGAGAACACATGCATGCAGTCATTAACCTGTTCCTAATCACTAATACATCAACACTTGCTTCTAAATGAAGCCAAAATGTCCACCATTAGTAAAAAAAAAACACACACACAAGACAAACGACAGAATAAGTATTCTTACAGTTGAGAAAGAGAATACTTCATGATATATAATATTTCGGTATCATATAATTCAGCATCGCAGTGGGAACTTTTGCACTCCATAATCAACTGGTTCCCATACCAACAGATGGAATCAAAAGTGTTGACGCTCCTGGTACCCATTCAGGGTACTCATTTCCAGTACGGTACTGAACTCACAAATTCTGGGACAGCAAGATGGCAATCACTCAAACTTCCTTTTAACTTCTTGTGAAACACGGAATTAAACATACCATACCTGAGATGAATCTCAAATCTGATAATGCAAAGACTGAACTTGTGGTCTTGGCAAGACCGGGCTTGCTAACTTGCATTCCAAGAACAAACTTGGGGTGCAATGAATCATGGGATTGGTTTCATGCTGCAAGGATGCAACCGATGTATCCTTGATATTTGGAGCAGATTTTTACCGGTCTCTGTACTTAGGAACTGGTGTGTGGGGTAGGAACTGGTCTTTGGCAGTGGACGATGACGAAAAACCGATACACAAGAACACAAGTATAGTCAAGACTGAGAATGGACTGGGCCAACAAGCCATTGAGAAAGAAAATGGTAAATGATACTGATAGCCAAATTAAGCTTCATGAACCATTCACTATATTTTTTGACCCCACTAGATGGTGCTCTGACTTTGCTTTGGGACATGCTTTGAGCTCTTTTTTGAACAGAGAGCACCATCTAGTGGGATCAGAAAATACAACAAATGATTCATGAAGCTTCACTTGGCCATCACTAGTACATGATAAACATTTACATTTATGGAGTGCTCTTCAAAAACACCAGGACTTGCCTTGGTGTTGTGTACTGAAGACCATGTACACAACACCAAGTTCACAGAAAAGTCCAGTGGTACCAGGAAATTATTACAGGGTCTATGATAGAGCACAGGTTTGCTACATGGCCTCTGCCTCAAAGACACGACAGTTTTGAATACTTTCAGTTTTCAGAAGTGCTTCTCAATAAGTGAGCTCCATTCTACTGAGCACGATCCATCTCTCCACTTTATTTTCTTGAAAATATATGGCGCGCATACTTTGAAAGACAGCTAAAAAAAAAGAATCAGCTTCCAATAACAGATAATTACTAGGTTCTAAGTGGTTAATTAAAGAAAATGCCATTTATTGACATGTATTTGTTGGATTTCTGATACTAAGCAGGTGGTATCTTCCATTTTTGGACTCAGTAGAAGTATTCTATAAGCAGGAAGTACTGCATTGTGCAGTTTTAAGTAGCCAATTCAATCTGTGGCTCAGTGGGCTAAGCCACTGTGCCTGTGACCAGAAGGTCACCAGCTCCAGCCCAGCTTGAGTGAAATAATCATGTCTGTGGGTCCTGGAGTAAGACCCTTAAGCCCCAGCTCCATGGGTGCCACTGCAGGTGGCTGTCCTTCACTGCCAAGCTTGCTCTCACCTACATATGTGTCTGTGCGTGTTATGAAAAGCAAGATGGCGTAGGCAAAAAGAGAATTTTCCCCATGGCGCTGAACAAAAGCATTATTACTAACAAAAGCATAATCAGACCAACATCCTAATGAAAAGAATGTGAATCTGATCACTTTGTGGTACTTTACATAGATTTAAACATGCAGGTGACTAGTGGAAGTGCATTCTATACCTGCCATTATGATTTCATTTAACCGTAAACATGCTCTTCAGTCAGTTCCCTTACTGTGATCTACCACAGAGTCACCAAACCGGCCACACAGATACCAGCCAATACACGCTTCCTGTAATCCTGCTGGCCGCTTCTCACTATCACACATACTCTCACGGATTCCTATAATCAACTTTGTTAAAAGTGTGTGAGGCACCCTCTCCTGGTCAAGACTTGAGAAGCATAATCTATAAAGATTTAGGGGACGAAACCTCTGGATAGCCTGAGTGGGAGGTGGTAGGTTATCTGAGATTCTGGTGAATCCAGTACACATCTTTCCAAGCCTTTGATTTCTATAGACGTTACAAGCACACAAAGCCCAGCCTTGCAAAAGGAATCCTTCACATTATGTATTTGCATGCAGCTCATGCAGGCCTGTACATTAGAACCATGACAACGAATGATAATGACCTATGTAGTCAGGCTATTTATATAGCAGTTAGCACACACTGATTTGGAAAATGGATTCACACCACGAAGCCAAAAGAGGCATGCGGTCATTGGACCTTTGAGATAAGGAACCAAGTCAATAAAATATCCCACTGCATTAAGTATGAGCCGCTGTGGTTTGAAGAGCCAGTATATCCCCAGAAGAATGACTGACCACACCCTTTGCTCTATAACCCAGTGATCTGAAGCTGGTCCTCATTTGTCACAGGAATACCCTGCTTATTAAAGTGATTTTTTTAAGCGAGGGGTCTGAAGCGGCTTGGAGCTGGACATCAGTAGGTGTCAGACGCTCGTCGTTCGGTGGTGAGACACCATCTCAGGTAGGCGTAGATAGCAGGAAAGCCAATGACGCACTGTACCATGGTAATCAACTCACAGCACACATGTAATCCACGTGCTGCCAAGTGGACGATAGCCAAAGTCTTCTGAGCTTCTCACTCTCGGTCTCTCTTTGCTCTCTTTTGGGATTAATTTCAAGGCAATAACACAGAAATCTCCTGTCATAGAGTCATATAGCACCACCTTACATACTCAATTCTCTCATATGATGACTCATGTGCATTGTTAAGCTACACAAATTGATCTTTGATTGAAAAGCTGTGTTTTAAATGGAAACACACTCATGCAACAACAAACAAGATTAGTCGCTGTTGACTGTATGTCGTTTATTAAAGAAGACAAATGAGTGATTTGTTGATAGTCCTACATGATTAACATGGCTGCAGTTCAGGGTTAACTTCAGGACTGCTGTGAACTTACAGCCACTCCTGTGTAACTATAGGTCATTCATCGCCGTTTGCTGTCTTCATTTTTCTCACCATCTTTGGGCTTCTTCAGGCTCCTTCGACCTAGAGGTGTAACTTTTCCACATGCTTATTATGATAAAAGCTGAATACAGAGCCACAGCGTGCAGCCTGCGAGTACCCAGTTAAAATGAAAAAATACTAGAAACTTTTCAAAATTTTTTTTCCACTTTTTCTGATAAGAGTGGCTCGTGATCATATTAAAAAAAAGCACAGACAAGGCCGTAATGAGAAAGCCTGTTAAATTGGTTCAACAGAGCTTAGATGGATGGAAAACCTGCACAGACTGCCGCTGGTCATGGGTTGAAATCTACCGGCTTATGGTGACACAATAAGCACATTATTGTGCAATATTGTCAGTCTGTGGGCATGTTGTAGGCTTATTGTGCATATTATTGTGCGCATTAGATGCCGTTTATCCGTACCGCTCTTTTTGGAAACTTTTTGGAAAGTATCATCTGCTGAATATAAAAACCATGCGTGATGTCAGTGTACCGTATCAGTGCACGACAATGCTGGAGAAAGCAGAGCAACAATACAGAAGGCGCAAATCAACCCTTGAAGTCCGAAGTAGGGTAAACGACATGTGATCAGCATCAGCATAAAAGGTCTAGATATTAATATTATAAACCGACAGCCCGGTAGCGAGGTTCAGATTTAAAATAAATAAATAATAATAAAACTTAAATCGCTTTAAGCGCGGCTTTCCCGTTCTGCGACACAACCGGACGGACAAATAAAACGGCTATATCCATGATCACAGTGTTTCTTTTTTATAGGCTAATCTATATTAATTTATATGAAGGCATTTGACAACATAAAACGTCGATATAGCGATCGCATTTCCATAAAAAAAACTTCATAAAGTTGTTTAGAGGAACGTTATAACTGCGACTGATTCTAACAAAAATCCCCGGACTCACCTGTCAGATTCCAGATGTTGTTATTGCATGCGATTCCACCTTTAAAGTTGCTTTAAAGTGACTCTAAATTGTGCCTTAGGTAGTGGGCAAAGAACCGGCAGCTCCGGCAGTATGAGAGGAGGTCCCGGTGGGGGTTGCTCGGGGCTTTGGTTGCCCGGAGACAGTGAAGTCATCCCCGGCAGGTCCCTCTATTCTGTTCGCTACAATAAAGGGCGAAACTTCTATAGCCTGCAAAGGGAACAGAGAGCCGGCGGTGCGCATCCCTCTCCGCCCCGTCCTAAAGCCGTCCGCTTTACATAGACGGGCTGACTGTTTACCCCGGTTACCCGATACAGGTGTTTAGGGGCTGCTGTGATTTGTTACAGCGGTCCTCTGGCTGAGCTGTTTTAGCAATATTAAGGTTATCATTATACACTGCTGGGAAGGCGTCTTGAATGCGTCGCCACCATGATGCGGACAAACATTCATTGCAGATGTCGACCATCATGTGTTGAAAGGAACTCATAAAGAAAATTACTTCCTTACTTAACTTTCCTTTTTTTCTTATTTATTTGCAGACTCAAGGTCCAAACATACCATGCACACATACAAAACATATTACATTCATATACACACGACACTTTGTACCGTTAAAAAGAGATTTCAAAATGTCCTGTTGTTTATTCCAACATTTCCATAAGACAGAGGAATATCGTGTATCACTTTTCATAGGATCAGTTAAGGTCATAATAATTCAATTCCTTGACTCAGTTAGCCTGCACATAAATGTATACATGAGGTTCCTGAGTAGAGCCTGAAATGTCAAGATCAAGGTCAGTCAAGGTTCCTTAATTTAAAATTAGCCTACCTTAATGTTAACTGTGATTTGCAAACAGCCAAAGAAATAAATCCTATAGTAGGGTATTTATTTTTCTTAATACTTGAAAATTGTCATCAACGCATGATAAAACAATCGCTTTGTTTTCAGTAACTTGGTAACCAACCTTGAATTTTGAGCTTTACACTCCCCTTTCCAGTTAACATGATATCATCACGTCAGTATGGTTCTACTGGATTGTGCTTTCAGTATTGTTCTATTGTATGCATATGATTATACGTTCATGGTATAATGATATGCATATAGTATATGTTCCTAGTGTTTGAACAGCATTTTATTTTATACTAAGGTACTTCATTCTGATACTATAATATTCTGTTATGTCCCATGGTATTTATGTCCAACCTGTACTAGTACTATGCTATTTAGTACTCATGGTATTGCCAAGAAGCAAATATAATATAGTTCTTGTACAAAAAAGTAACTGCATTATAACCATTGAACTGTGATCATCTGAGTTGTAGTGATGGAATCTGAGAATTTCAATGAAGCAATTATGATGCCGCACTTTATTTTCAATATTTCAAATAAAGACACAACATGTGTTTGGATAAAAATGTTTCCTTCAGTTTCTGCCATTGAAACACTTAATGGTAAGCGATTAATTGTGTGAGGTATGTGACTATTAAACTGTTAAAGTGTGTTCTTCACTAAGCCCAAAGAGATACACTTCATGCATGGTGTATAAATTAATATCTAATTTCAGTTCTGTATATTTACAATACTATGATAAGCATTACATAAATACTATTTAAAGTAAGCTTATATTACAACATATTTAAAAACATGTTACTACCATGGTGCCATTAGAAAAACTTAATGGATTACCATTCTATTTTAACTGAAGATACATTGTAATGCTACATAGTATACCATAGTATAGTGCATCTGGAAAGTATTCACAGCGCATCACTTTTTCCACATTTTGTTATGTTACAGCCTTATTCCAAAATGGATTAAATCCATTTTCCCCCTCAAAATTCTACACACAACACCCCATAATGACAACATGAAAAAAGTTTTTTTGAGATTTTTGCAAATTTATTAAAAATAAAATGAATTTAATCCATTTTGGAATAAGGCTGTAACATAACAAAATGTGGAAAAAGTGATGTGCTGTGAATACTTTCCAGATGCACTGTATATAGGTGGCCAAATTACAATGGGTTTGCCATAGTAGTACTACTACGCTATTACTTTGATGATAATATCATAGTTCTTTTTTGTTAGGTTATCTGAATGTGTTGCACAGCTTTTCCATTGCTTCCAAACGAGAAACACATACAATTAAAGTAGTCAGTAGAAATATATTAACAAAAAGAATGTATATAAAATAGTGATCTATACCACGATCTATACACGCTTTGTAGCAGTGGTATTTTGTAATACAGTTGTTGAAATTAATAATTCAATAGAACCACAATCATTCGGCAGTTCACTTCAGCAGAAGCTGGCCTGTAATTCTTCTTTTATACCTCTTTGTTATTTGGAAATGCAGCACAAGCCTCACTCTGATCCAACAGTAGCACTCAAACAGATGGGATGGTGATCTCTTTTTCAGTCTCTAATTACTTGTGTAGTCCATGGCATCATCCTGAAGAGCTTGCAACAAAATTGCTGCAAATTAAACTCAGGCAGTCAAAGCTTCGGGGGGACTTTAGTTAGCACACAATTTCTCCAGACTTTAGAGGAACTGTAGTATTGAATAATATACAATTATTTAAATAATTGAATAACAGTATGTAATACTTCAAAACAGGACATCTTGTCCAAACTGCCGGACTGTGTGTCACTGAGACCCAGCAAACATAAGTGCTAACAACTAAGGTCCAAGTTAAAAAACAGATTTTTCCAGGTACTCTCTTGCCTTATAATTCAAATTTCCAGATTGGAGGCCTGAAAGTTTTACAAGATATTTATGTAATAACTACTACCATAGGAAAAAATGTGGGTAATTATAATAAAAATTTGTTAAAGTCCAAACCATGCTGGCCAACTATTTGCTTGAAAGTAGCTCGGGGAATATAGATGGTTATGCATGCCTAGTGACATACGGAGGTTTGTGGTTAATTTAATGCATGTTTGTGTGCTTTGAGACCCGACGATGCTGAATTCTTAAAGTGATGAAAGCTGAAGAAACATGCCATCTAGTGGCCATATTAAGTAAATGCTGGCAACGTTTTTTTTTGTTTTGTTTTTTTTTTAACTAACGTAGATTTCTCTCACCCCTCTGATATCATCTGCGAACAAGCCTTTTCTAAGGCTTACGGTTTGTATCCCGTGATCGACTGGGATCCCATCCAGGGTACCCCCTGCCTCGTGACTTTATTTACCACGTATTAAATGAATTGATCAATGAATCGTCATAATTTAATTCCTTTGCACATTACTAGATTTCCGAAAAAAAAAACTATAGGCCTACACAGGAAGGGCAATACAACAATTTAAATTAGCTATTTAATACTATAGTCCATCCATTCATCCATTTATCTTCTAATTGCTTATCCTGGACCGGGTTGTGAGGTAACAGCATAGCTGGATAGTTGTAACAACCGAACAAACCCAATAATATTTAAAACACTTCAGCGTACATCTTTATGTAAAATAATTATTGTAATTGCTCTACAAAAGCTACCAAAATGAAAGAGCTTTTGACAGCCTGACAAAATGACTAGAATCAGTTCCCCATTTGTCTGCCCTAAGTCCCAAGTTGTGGGATGTGGCAGCAGTTACAGCCTTTTTGCCATGTGACGTTGACCTAACCAATATTACAGTAACACCTATCATTGTAAACTTCCCATTTTAAAAGCTAACGTCACATTTCAATGATCAAGACCAAGATTTGTTATTTGCCTTTAGGAGATTAGTATGCCATATTTATTCTTTTGGATACATCCATATCTCCATATTAATATTTATGTATACATTTTCTTTTTTACACTTACTAAGTGTCTTTCCTATGCCTTGGTACCCTGTGCCAGTCTGCAGGAAACACACAGGTAAGCATCCCATTGTACTGAGTACTTACACTAATACAAATGATAACAAACGTTGTGAATCCTTTGATCCTTGAATCCTTAGAGCACAGGAAATGTGATTCGCACTGTCCAGTAACATATGGCAGCTAATAGATTTTCAGAGAATTCTGAGAAAAAAGTCAGAATTCTGCCGTTAGATTCAGACTGGCTGCAGACCTCAGGTCACATGCAATACGCCGAGTTTAGGGGCAAAAGTGGAAGTGGAGATGTCAGTGTTGGTGTAAAATGACAGAACTGGCAGCATTCCTGTGAATTCGTGTTTCAGAGGAAGCCATTGCACATTTGGAAGACCAAAAGGTAGGTGAAAAAAGTAAATCTTGGTTTTATTATCGTGCCAGCAGGTTTGATATTAGCAATAGCATTTGTAGCAAGCACTGTTTCCAAAAGCGGCCATCACTAGTCGAAGGTCCCTGATTTTGTTAATATAATTTTTACGTCAGTGATATATCTGTTTCTCATGGAACTCGCACAGAATCAGGCCAAGAACAAGTGATGAATCTGGCCAGTTCTGGCCATTTCTGATGTACTCTTTTCCAGAGTTGCACAGTGCAGAGGATAGACTGAAACCCATTGACATGGAGGAGGTGAATTTGTGCAAAGAAGAGTGCACCTCCAAAGGCCAGTTTCCTTGTGATGAAACGGTTTTTGAACTGTGCTGTGTGCTGATGGAGGAGAATGGATGGGATGTTCCAAGAGATCCTTTTTAAAAAAATTAAAAAAAAGAGATCCATCTGCTACATCAGATCTCTACATCTTGTTAAAAGAAGAAACACTGCAAAACATCTGACAAAAATAAAGACCAGTAACAATAATCAAATCTCAGAAGGCCCTAAAGAGTGGCAATGTGTAGCCTGTGATGGGGGCAGCGGATTTAATTTTCTGTACATATTTGTAAGTATTTGTCTTTCAAACATCTCTGACATGCCCCAAATTAGGGAAAGTTGCTGTTCGGCTGGATGTTTCTCATTTAGTACGGATTCAAATGATTGAACAACCTGAGACCACCGTATATGCATAATTTTTAAATGCAATGTGACAACTTCAAAAAATAAAATAAAAAACATGCACACACGTATCTAGTAAATTATTACATACTGTATAGTATTTATGTAATATTTTGTATATTACATAAATATTTTGTATTGTCATCAAAAAGTCAACCTTTTATTGGAACTGCAACACAAAGTTTTTTGAAGCTCAATAAAATCATTTTAAAACAGTTTCATTCTAATGTTTCCTGTAATGCTTCCTCTGAATGCTGCCAGTTCTGTCATTTTACACCAACACTGA